TTGTAGCAATGAGAATACATAATGCATATCAGGCATTTACATTCCGAAGCATAACAAAAAGCAAAATTACAGTTTTGAAGTAGCCACAAAAATTTTTTTTTGGTTTGGGGTCACCACAACATGAGGAACTGTATTGTGGGGTCATGGCATTAGAAAGGTTGAGAACCACTGATCTAGAGGGCTACTGTCCCCCCAAATAGTGATCCTACAATGTGAGGGTCACTATGAACATAACTCTCCATATAGTGAAAGTTCCACATAGCTGCAGCAATACCTAGAGATGGCTTTCTCCCTAGATAACCTTTATAAGTAAACAGAATAGTCCTGCACCTTTCTGGGACGGTGTATGTACATGTGTGTACTGTATATACAGTCAGCCCTCCATATCCACAGATTTTTTTTCATTCAAACATCAATGGCTTGAAAATATTTTAAAAATATAGGAATTCCAAATACCTTGATTTTGCCATTTTATATATGGGAACACCATTTTACTACTTAAATCCATGGATTTTGCTATCCATGGGGTGGTGGTGGTGGTGGTCCTGGAACCAAATCCCAGCAGATACTAAAGGTCCACTGTACATGCATACAAAAGACCAATGTCCAAAACACACGGCAGAAATAATCCAGTTTGAGACTGCTTTAACTGCCTTGGCTTAGTGTTAGGGAATGCTGGGGAACTGTTGTTTCGTGAGACATTGAGCCTTCTCTGTCAGAGAGATCTGGTGTCACAATAAACTACAGTTCCCATGATTCCCTAGCACTAACAACCCTTAAAGTGGACTCAATTTGCACTATTTCTGGCAGTCTGCAAAGGCCCTTAGACCAGTTTAAGAAATCAAAGAGAAGTTAACTTAAAAAAAAGAATCTGGGGTGCAAAGAGGTTTGGGCACTGGTCCTCAGTGGCTGCACTTCAGTTCACATCTTAAGATAAGTAAGACAAAAATAACTTTGGAGTGTGCAAGAAAAGAAGAGGGATTCATCTTCCTCCCCAAAGACTTGACACCTATTTTTGGCGGAGTACATATTTCATGTTTTCCTACAGTGGGCCTTTGGTATCTACTAGGGTCTGGTTCCAGGTCTCCCAATGGATAACAAAATCTGTGGATGCTTAAGTCCCATTAAATACAGTGACATAGTAAAATGGTCTCCCTTATATAAAATGGCAAAATCAAGGTTTGCTTTTTGGAATTTATATATTTTAAAAATATTTTCAAGTTGTGGATGCTTAAATTTGTGGATAAAAAAACCATGGATATGGAGGGCTGAATGTATTAGCTAGCTTTGCAGTGGCTACATGTCTCAGAATTAGATGTTACCCAATATAGACTTGGGAAGGTCAGAAGCCATTTCTGTCAAATCCAAGTGACCCTCAAAGCAGGAGGAAGACTGACAAGGATTTATTACAGTGTATATGATTTCTTTCCTGTGTTACTGAGGCTACATCTGCAATGTGGAAATGATGCCGTTTGACACTGCTTTAATTGCCATGGTTCAGTGCTATGAAATTCTGGGATTTATAGTTTTGTGAAATAGCCTTCTCTGTCAGAGAGCTCTGATGCAAACTACAAATATCAGGATTCCCTAGCATTGAGCCATGGCATGGCATTTAAAGTGGTGTCAAACTGCATTATTTCTGCAGTGCAAATGTGGCCTGAGTTTATGTGCTCTGCCTTCCTTTCAAGGAAATGAAAACCCTCCCAGGTTTTAGTGTTTTGTATAAATTTTAATGTCATCTTCATGTAGCTTTATAACGAATCACACTCCCGAGCTGTTTAAGAACAATACTACAAAAAAGGGTAGATAATAACGTTACAATATGCTATACATGGTTTAGCTGGCAGAAAGTATATGGAAAAAATACACCCTTTTTAATCATATTCATACTTCTGTAGAGAGATGGCAGATGGGGATGAACAATTATCTGCCCTAAATTCTCCCCTAGCAAACTGCTACTTTGCTCAGGGATGATGTCAGGAAATACACCCAACTATGTGCATATCTTAAAAATATTCCTGTTATCGTCCATTACATCTATTGACGAAGAAGCATGGAAAACTAGTGTTTAATAAATATACAAGACTGACCCAGATCTTTGCAGGAATCATGTACAATTACAGTTCTGGAAACTATTCTGGAGTTAGGGACACTGATCTTTCTTCTTAATACTTTAAAAAAGGTATGAATAGAGGGTTAAAGCTGCTATACCTTTTTCCAAATGAACCCCAGAGTCAATCAATCAAAAAGATTTTGCTATTTTCCATATTTGATAATTCACACAGCTAGGAAACAACATAGGGTTGCTGTGTTGATCATATAGTAAAGTACAATAATATCATCATGTATTTTGAATCATGTATTTTGAGCAGTTTGGTTGGCTGACGAAAGGTATCACTGTTTTGTGGATTTCCAATGAAGGAGCCTGCCCACACAGATATCCCTCCAGATGTAGCCCTCCAGATGTTGTAGGACTGTAGTTGCCAACATTTCTCAGCACTGTCTATGCTGGCTAGGATAATATCTTTACAATATTACCAAAGCAGCAACTAAGTTTCTGTGCAAACTTTCAAAACGAAGTTTCTTATCAGGCAAATAAGTTTGTGAAAAGAATGAAAAGAAAATTGTTAAGCAGGTTTAGATGCTAAGGCTATTTTCCTCCCACCACACCCAAGCTATTCTCCCCTGCGCATACTTTGGAATAGTAGTACAGTGGGCCCTTGGTATCCGCTGGGATTTGTTTGCCTCCAGGATCCCCTGGGGATACCAAAATCCATGGAAGGTCAAGGCCCATTAAATGCAGTGGCATAGTAAAAGGGTGTCCCTTATATAAAATGGCAAAATCAAGGTTTCCTTTTTGGAGATTATATGTTATTTTGAATATTTTAAAATTGTAGCTGGTTAAATCTGTGGATAAAGAATCCATGGATATGGAAGGCTGGCTGTATATTGTAGAAAGCAAAACACATTGACTGCTTACAATTCAAAATTTTCAAATGAATTAAGCAAATGTTGCTTTCATGTTTTGTTTTTTATTTATGTGTGAAAATCCATATATCTTGGGTAACTGTACAAATAATACATTTCCATTTTAACCATAAACACGGTTATCACCACTGTTGAGTGCTATCAAATATTTTTATTATTTACAAAACCATTATTAAAACTCCTGATGTCATATTTCCTTGTAATTATATCTTACCCATAGGGTAATAAGTCCACCATAATTGCTTGGTGATTTTTCTTTCTCTCTTTATAATATAGAGGCAAAAACAAAACCCTTCTATGTTAATAGTTTTCTACAAAAAAATTCATGAAGAACTATGAATATGACCAAAAATACCAATGAAAAAAGGTCTTCCCAAAAATA